ATTAAATAGCGAGAGTCGACGCCTGAAGATACTCTTTAAGCCTTCTAGATTACGTAACAAGACCAATTTTTAAAAAGAGTTATGTTATAAAAATTTTAAAAACGTATTTAAAAGTTCAGTAATTGCTTCAGAAGTTGACCACTCTTAAAAATGAAAAAACTAGTAATTGACCACTTATACTAGAAGGAGGGTTAAAGCAATAGTGTTGGCAATCATTTTAGTATCGTTTATTTTCAACAATTACCAGCACAAGTTATAATTAGAATGGAAAGTAGAAATAAAACAATTCAATTCCATAACAAGTTCAATTTGGAAACAGAGTAGACGTTGCGAGTTCTGCTCGATTTCGTGGGCTTATTGATATGAGAAACTCTAGCCTTCCACTCATAGTCCAGCACATCAGGCTTCTCTGGCCACTTCCATAATCGCCCGTACATTTCCATGGATGAAATAAAAATAAAAATAAATAAAAAAAATAAATAATTAAGTAAATGCATTTTAATTTTCCGGTGGTGTTTATAATATCACGCACATGGTTATTTTAAAAAAGTGGACACTGGACGGAGTCAATAATTGACCGTGGATCAGTCAATAGTTGACCATGCGGTCATTCAAAATTTAGAACTATATTTTGTACTTCTAATAAAGTTAAATACAAAATGGATACATTATAAATCGTAAACAAATTTAAATAACTCGCGTCAGTAATTGACCACGCCTGTCAACTTCTAAAAACTATTAGAATAACAAGATTCGGAATTTGACCTCCCAATAAACTATTGCTTTTTGTGGTTAGAATAACAAAAATGTTGCATTTATCACTTATAAAACGCTGTGAGAATTGAAAAAGTAAATAATTCAGTCACGAAGAGTTCACAACGTATGGATTTGTTTACTTGAACCGTACAGCTGTTCTTAATAGAAACATTAAGGAAATAGCAATATAGAGGCATATTACTTACCTTAATGGATTTAGACGTTCGTTGTTACTACGCATACTTCTCGTCACATGTAATTCTTTTGAAATTTAACCGATAGATGTCTTGGCATGTCAGGTGCATTTTTTTCAAAAGAGTATCACTTATAAAAACCTTATTCTTTACGTTTCTCTAAAAATTGGTCAACTACTGGTACCTTTACCTTAAGTTGCGGCCAAAACTGGTTTCGGCTCCACAATTTTTTTCAATTTTATTATAAAGTAACCTTGTTTCCATAAAAGAAAAGAAAATATGTTTAAGAAAAGTCGTTGTACTACAAAAAAAAAAAAAAAGAAACAGTTTTTCCTCCATAACTTTTTTCAATTTCATCACGAAACAAGTTTTATCGATTATTTAAAATTAAGGTAGATAGTGAGTCGTCATTTGCACGCTCATAAGATTTTCATCGAAAAGTTGGAAAGCGAAGCGGTCGTGAAACTGCAGTAAGTAAATTGCAAAATCGAACAATTGATATTTCTGGTCGGTTGGCTAATTCTACCTTCTCGTTTGAAGGTAGAACGTACATACGTTGATAGTAAAAAAAAAGTGACAAGAAAAAAATTATTTTAACAAGATGGATAAGTAAATAGAGAGGTTATGTAAGTAGATTGTAAAGCTGCCAGGAGATCGGAGACAGGCGACATTTTTACACTTCGGTTGGATAAGGAAACATTTTTATCTCGCTGAAATGTAAGATCGAAATGAGCGGTAGTTTAGTTAGAAGTTCTGTTTGACAATCACTTAGGCTCGTTTTCTTATTTGTAACTCGTATTATGGGACATCTCGTGAGCCCGATTTCTACTTAAGATTGTCAATCTTTAGATAAGCTAAACACGAGTGGAAAAATCCATTCATTTACCATCTACATATTTGCAAAATCGGTTGAAATACTCACAGTCGTGGAAAGATTATGAAAGTTTCCAACGCGATGTGTGTGTGTAAGCCTCGGTTCGACATATTTTGTATTTTTTATTTCTGTTTGTATAAAATAACACGAGACTCGAGATTAAGAAGAAACCAATTTAAATCGTTTTCAAGGTACGAATGCGAAATAACATTTCGGATGATTTATGATTTACAATATAGCTACTACCACGGCTAGACCTCGGATCGATGCCAAAATGATCAAGTGCCTCGATCTTTCGGATCTAAGGAGTGTTGCGTTATTGACCTCGAAAATGGTACATTAGCGAAATAAGAAATTCTCGTATGAGTCATGCGAGATGACCTGTCCCGATGCTTAATACGCACTGCCACGAACTATTTGTCTAATTATGTAGATTACAGCGAACACAGGTCGTGCTGCATTAAATTATGACGCCTTATATACTACAATTGCACGACTTATCTCTTAATTTGTCGTCAGAAAGATACTATTGTAATAGATCACGAGTGCACAGAACGTGTAAGTCGAAGTACTTTGGAGTCAATTAGGTGCATTTAAGAATGTCGCCGCGGGTGGTTTATCTTATCAGTTGGTGAATAATTTACGCTGACTTGTCACGTGTGTCCTGCTTATGTATGTGTGTAAGTGACCACTTTTTATCATTCATTACGGATGAGAAAAAAGCTAGGCTACGTAAATCTTTTGTTGCAAGCGAAATTATAGTATTTCAGGTTTGAACAACAATTGTAACAAACAGAAACTTAAATCCAACAAGAATAACGAAGAAAAATATATTTCAATACAGGTAGTTACTGCGACATAATCAAATAAAAACAATTTATCGTAAGTTTTTCTACTTATAACGATATTTAAAAATGCGCAACAACCAAAGTAAATATATTATCTCATTTTAATCCGAAATAATCTCGATTTTCGAGAATAGTATTTTTGAATTTTATTTTTGATCTATATTTACGAGGTTTTATCGCAATTTTTAACGATTCATCACAAAATTAGATTAATTTAATATGTACAACATGTTGTAAATAAATCATATTTATTAAAAGGTTTCAATCTTTTGCATATTTTCTATAACTATACATAAGACAGGTCAATAATAAGATAGAAAGGTATTTGTACATACAAGGCAGTACAAATATAATTAACAATGATAAACATACACGACACGTGTAATATATGAAAGAGTAATGTACATTTGCCTGAATCGTATACCTACGGTATCGAAACTGTCCGCTATATTGACATCACGTACACGCACTTTATAATAGAGAACAGTCTTCAGTACTTAAGAGACACCTTGTTAATAAAAGTAACTTCCATTCTTTTCGTTACACTGTATCGATCTCCGAACGAGAGCTATTCACGCTGAGCCTTACATATAATGTACTGTACATATATACAGAGACCCTTGCGCAAAGTGCAAATAGAATAAAAATATTGTTAATGATACAAATCACTTGTTTACGCTTCTAAAGCAACAGCCTCTTGTGTTTTCCCCTTTGTACGTTCTGTAAAATTGAAAGAAAACACAAAAAGTTGAATAAATATCTTCTGTACAGAAAATAGAAATGATTCAATCGTATTAACTCTTTACCTCTTTTCTTTTCTGGTAGTTCTTCTGGTACTTCTGGTAACACTATTTCTTCTGGTACTTCTGGTAATGTTACTTCTGTAGGTACTTCTGGCACCTTCTCCTCAATTTCTGCTGCTAATAAGGCATCAAGTTCTGCTTCAACATCACTCTCATCCTTATCAGAAAGTTCTCCTGATAATATTGCATCAATTTCTCTCTGTTTCTCAATGCCTTCCCTGGTCTCATCCATGACTTTTTCAATTTCATCAATGGATAACAAGTCGTGCAGTTTCTTTAATGCGGCATTGCCTACTTTTAGGCCATCTATAACTTTCAACTCTACTTGTGCATACTCCAAGTCATGTACCATGCGCTCAAGGTTTTCTAATTGTCCATCAGTCTTTGATAATATTTGTTCTTGGAATTTCTTTTTCCGTAAAAGAAGCAAAGCTCGTCTAGAAAAATGTTGTTAATATTTAACAAATACATTAGAAAGATATAATTGGAAATATACATGCAGACATTTAACACTTACTCTTTTTGTTTATTTTGTATAAGTTTCTTCGCGAGTAACCGTTCCTTCTCAAGATTTTGCTCGATTCTTCGTTGATATTGCTTGATTTTGTCTCTAGTTTGTTTCAATTGCTATAGAATAGTAATGGTATTTTAACTTGTAACTAAAATAGCATCGGTTGAGGTTAGAAAATACGCGGCACAACGTACCAAGATGGCCTTGTCCTGCTCTGTGACACGGCTCGGCGGTTTCTTCTTTGCAAAGAAAATACCCATTTCGTATAGAATAATGGACAATGTTGTTAGCGAAACTGTCATACGGCGGCTGACGGAGACTTCATTTCACGTTTGACAGATACACTTGAAACTGTGATAAGCAAATGTAGCATGACCAACGCCATGTTTTTTAATCGATCTATCGATGGTTTCGTTCTCAATAAAAGCGCAAAATACGAACGTGAAGAGTGGAGTAAATTTGATTTCTCCATTTTTAAACCAAACTATCCACTTTCAAATGTAGCGTCAAAAATAATAAAACTACTAAAACTGATAAGTAAAAGCTAAAAAAAAAAGAAGAAAATATCGCAATTCAGTCTGCATATGAATCGTAATGATTATTTAACTATTATCGCATTAAATAAAATAAGCAATCCACGTTATCGAGGAATTCTTAAATCAATGTACAAATATAAGTGTATCTTTTGAATATAAAGGAGAATCGTTGAAATTAATCAGGATACGTTAGAAGACAGCAGAAACAAGGAAAGAGAAAAACAACAAAGACGATTGGATTGAATTGAACAATGTCCATTATATTATATATTTTATTCCCACATACACACGGCACGTTGTGAACCTTTTCTTAAATATTAATAATATTATCATAATAATAATAATCATCATCATCATCCTCGTTATCATCGCAATGATAATAATTTTAATAATAATAAGTAAACAATAATAAAAATAATAATGT